CTCTGCCTACTGTTAAGGGATACTAGACCTCTGAACGACCAACACGTGACGCTTTCCTGGCGATCGCGCGCACCTACAGAGCGCTCGAAGTCTTTGACTAAATACTTTTTCGCCGGTAACTTTTTTCTGTTTGATGAAATGAGTTCAAATATTGATATTGATTTGAAGGTAGACCTTCTTCACTTTATTCATCAAACTAGCAGCTTCTTCTTGAGATGGAGAAAAATTGAAGAATAATAAAAAAATTTTTGTTAGAAATCCCAAGTTAAGCTAAAGTCCGAGCAAATTTCAAATTATCGTAAAAGATTGCAATTCAAGAAAACGATCGACAGCATAATAAATAACACTAGCAGATTCAGTTGATTCGTTAATAACCTCTCAGAGTCATCAAACCTCAACAGGGCCTTGTGTATGAAATCGGTGAACAAGTTCACTTTCTGTTGGGGTAACTTCTTCTATTTTCTTCAAATTAAATGGATTTCTCACCAAAATTCGTAGCTGTCTTTTTCAAAGGTCACCTTCTCAAATAGTTTCACCATGAAGCTCAAGATATGCGGCCGAATCTGGACCCTTTCTTGAAGGCACCCCATGCTGCGCAAAGCAGTCGTTGAAGCGCGATGCTTTGGATTGCTCTTGCTTCAAGAAGAAGTCAGTAGCGTGCGGTTGCCATATGTGTGGATACACAACTTCACCTAGATTCTAGCCGTATACGTCTGCATCCACTTCTTCTCTAATCCTGTTGTCTGACTGCGGAGTGATAGGGAATGGAACGGGTCTGCGCACAACTGAGCTGAAGCGCGCAGCAGAACATCGACGTCATCTGACGTGACAAGAGTAAACCAAATATGTTTGGTGGCAAGGACACTGCGCATGAGTAGAGTCCTGACGGAAATTGATCCAAAGTATCTATCATCCGTAAAACATGGCAGAGGTTTGGTTATGGTAGCTCGTGAATAGAGTTCGTCCGCTGCATAGGTTTCAAGAAGTGGTGAATATGAACGGATGCGGTTAGTCTCTAAAAAGTGCTTAGTCTCTATAGATAAGACAGCTGCACGGTACAGACGTGTTCTCCTGGCAGTAAGCGATCCAAATCATCACACCCCTACAAAGCAAGTGTGGTTCCGAGAGTATGCGTGCTTCTAAAGCAAAACCAATCCAGAGGTATGTCTAGAGCGTTTTCTAGACACCAAAGATGCCCATAGCTTCCAGGAGAAGGAAGCTTTAGGCAGCAGAATAAACCAGAAATTCGCCAATTCAAGAAAAATGGAGGAAGTCGCCCCAACAGAGAGTGAATTGATTTATTCATCCCATGCTGAGGCCATGTGAAGCTTTGGAGTACCTGAAATTTAATGTAAAAGACCTGGAATTTCTTCATTCATGTGAATTCCCAGTGAAGTAGTTCTTCCAGTCTTAATTCTTTCTTCCATTCAATATGAGTTTGCCGCTTAGTAGAGCCTATGCCGAACTTATCCAATTTTGGACCCATTTATTTTCAGAAAAAAGTTACAGCCGAAAAAGTACTAGGCCAAGGACTTTTGAGCGCTGCTTTACGTATGTACAAAGCAACCTAGCTGGGCCTTATCTCCGGTGGAAGCAGCTATCATCTTTCTCAGGGAAACTTTAGCCGGAAAGGTTTAGCTTTCGCTGACCACGTCCCGAACAGGAAAGCACACGTTACGACTCCAGGTGGTTGAATGATGGCAGAAGAATCTTGAGTCCTGGCAATGTTACCATCTCATTCTCTTTTTCATTTTAGAAAAGCGCTACACTTCTAGCAGCCTAGCTTCCAGTTTCTTTAAGTAATGCCGTATCAGTTATAGCCAAGGATAAGGTGCCTAGAGGTAGTAGTTGCTCCTAGAGTGAGAGAGAAGGATATCTAAACCCAGGATCCGCGCTTCACTGCCGTGCTCAAAAGTGCGCGCAGGAAGCTGATGTCATGCCTTGCGCTGCCACGCTATCAATCAAGTGACATTCGTGGCGTTTGCGCCCTCTCGTGTACGACGTGCTCTCTCGCATTTTCCCTCCTCGCTGCGCTGTGTCTCACCGTCATACCTTACTGACCTCACAAGGGAAATTTTGTTTACTACGGTGCTTTTTGCTTTTTTCTTCACTCGCGTTCCTAATCGCACCTCTTGCCTATTTCCCGAATAAAATAACACACCAAGTGGGAGCCAACCCTTGCTTTCGAAGAGATTGTCCACAGAAACGGCATAAAATTTTGTTTTTTTTTTTTTTTTTTTTTTTTTTTTTTTTTTTTTTTTCTTTTTTTTTTTTTTTTTTCTTTTTTTTTTTTTTTTTTTTTTTTTTTTTTTTTTTTTTTTTTTTTTTTTTTTTTTTTTTCTTTTTTTTTTTTTTTTTTTTTTTTCTTTTTTTTTTTTTTTTTTTTTTTTTTTTTTTTTTTCTTTTTCTTTATTGAGACCCCATCTTACAGGTAAGGACGGAAAAGATGAAAAGTTGCGTTTGTCTTGGCATACCATCCGAATACAAGAGAAGCATCAGTCGTTTGAATTCCCGCTGCACATCTGCCACGAATATCTGCACGCAGTCACGCTTCTGCTTCTTGGAGTTCCATCAGTAGGAAATGTTTTCACCTTTCGCTTCCTTTCGTGGCAATCCGACAGGAGGAAATCTTTCAGCTTTTCACCTGTGACAATAACATTCAACTTTCTTATTGTATCGTAATTTTTGATCGTTTTGTCTGTGCTCTCCGGAATCGAATGCTCGCAAATTTTCCTAAAAGCCTAATCGTAATAACAGGCTGTCCCACCGCTCATCGTTCCAGTGGTTCCATCCACAGGTCCATCTGTGGACCCTCAGAACCATTATAACCCGCGAACTTTCACTGGGAATTTCCTGTCGGAAGTTTACTCTTATTGTTCACTGACAGCTAGCAGTGATTGGGACAATCTCTATTGTTTCGTCTACATTTCGATCCTTCCTGCCGCCTTTGTAGACCTAAGAATAGCCAGCGCTCTCCGATGCGTAGATGTCACTTTGCAGTTCCTCCTTTTCGAACTTACTGGCGTGGGGTCGAGCGTCCCGAGAAATCCAGCCTTCCATTCTTTCTTCAGAGATGTGGCAGGCTTGGTTTACGCAAGATTTGATTCTCAGGTCGTGAAGAGGAACAGGGTCTGTCAAGATTACACCAAACTCGCCTTCGTGTACAGAAAATGTACTAGCACCTCGCATGACCTACATATTATAGAGCCCCAACAAAGAAATGATTGCTGGCCAGACATACTAGTTCATAACCAAGGAATGAAGTCAGCATTATGTGCACATGCTTAAGATTTCAGCTCGCATGGCAGCCATTGGATTTGTGATGGGACCAATGCTACACGGTTTCTACCGCGTTCTGGACTCGAGGCCATTTACTGGTGGGCGGCGAAAAGTCGTGATGAAGAAACTATGCTGCGATGCAATTTGTATGCCGATATTTTCGTGCACGTTTATGACAGGTCAGTAGAAATCCGCTGTTACATCATTTAGGCGGAATCAAACAGCTGAAAAAATATCCTGCAGACCACTACTATACCCATTCACCATGCTGAATGGGGAAGTCTCCCGGCTTCATTTGGATGCGAGATCAGGGTTATCCGTATTATCCGTACGTCTCCCACACCTGCAGCTTGAAATTTAGCCATTGACGATTGTCCCAGGAATAAATATCTACTTTGATTCATAAGAGTTTGGAATATCCTATGAAATGAAAAACTAGATCATCTAGAGATGAGAGATTTCGTTCTGGGATAAGCCGTGAACTCTATTCTCTTTCAAAGTCGTGATAGGCACTGGAACGCTTCTATTTCCTACATTGACTTTTTGAGATAAGCCGATGAGCAAGTCAGTATTCAACTCATCCACACGAGTCTGGTACCAATTTATCGTCCTTTTGGGATGCGGCACGCATTCTACTTCCATTTGTACATTCGTAGTGGCGTTTGAATGCGATGTGGCCTATACAATGACTTGCGGGGGCCAGCCGATGTACAAGTCAGTGTTTTTATCCTCCCAGACAAGTCTGGTACCAATTAACCGACCCCGGAGGGATGGAAGGCTTGGTTGGCCCGGGCGACTCACGACCCAGGATTTGATCCCCGGACCGCTCGCGTGGTAAGCGTGCCACTTGCCACTACACCACTTCCGCCCCCTGACAGGATTAGTCATACATTATTCGTTAAAAAGTGATTCTTCTCCGGATTTGACCCGCTGATTGTTAAGTTGCCCCAATACCACCTCAATCTCTCAAGTTCCTTGCAAAACACAAAATTGCAGTATTTTAATTTCATCGGCTGTACTAACGAAAAAGAAACTGATCAACATTGAACCGCATCGCCGTCGACGCGCCTCTGCGACTACAGTCATGCCTAGATTCATGCAAAATGTTAGAAATAACTTCGATTCAATGAGTCAAGTCGATGTTGGCTCGATTCCCGTCCTCACCTGCACTGATAAGTCATTCTTGCCCACCTTCTTTCCATGTCGATGAGGCCCATACATTGATAGTGGAGAAAAATTTGTAGAAAGACATAAACACGATGTATGTAGTTTATACAAGGGGGGGGGGGTGACCTGATGACTGATACTGATATCTGACTGACCTGAACTGACATCTCAGGATTGTGTGTGTGCGAGGGGGGTGGCGTAAATATTTTGGCACAAGGGACGGTTGACAATGGTTGGACTCACCGAAACGCCCTACGCTCTTACTCGAATATAGCCTTAAAATGTCACCCACCGCAGTTTGGAACATTGGAACACCGCTACAGCTGTGTGCTAGTTGTTCAATTTGTAGTTTACATTTTTTTAAACTCGAAAATTTTTGCTTTAACACGATGAACAAGCTGTAAGAGTTGAGGCACACAGTTGCAGGGCTGATGCCTAGCACCGGTAATAATTTGGAAGAAAAGAATTTTCGCTTTTCTCAATCATGTGTTGAGGGTGAATTCGAATGATCGCAATCCCCCTACCATGCAATCGATTTCGCCCATTTGGTATCCTGTGCAATCGCTAGTTATCATCTCTCCAAAACTTGCTAAACTCTGATAGATTGCGCGTCAACTAGAATTCCCATTAGTTTCGGGCTGAGTGGAGCCATTCACCAACTGAAAATCATGAAACAATGAAACCGTAGGATTATGTATTACAAAAAATTTGAAGGTCCGGTCATGAGCTCTGCTCACTGTTCATTAAATGCATTTGCTGTAGTTCAAACTTGTCACCATAATTATGCCTCACGCTGTATATTTGTTGCGACATTTAGAGCTCTTTTTGGTTTGATATCATGTAAAATTTGTGTTGAAAATTGTTTTCCACGACACGGCTACGCTCCATATATCCCGCTTTTTAGGGTTCAGCAGTAATTGGTTCGTTTCGCGCCACCCCGCTCTTTCACAAGATTTAACAGCAATTTTTCCAAAGTATCACTTCACGATGAAAAATGTTTCAACGTCAGAAAACTTCTGTGAAGCATATGTGAAAAGCAGTCGCGAAATGTAATGTGGAATTGTATTTAACTTTGCTGATGCACCAAAGTGGTCCTTCTACAGAATTCAAGAAAATTTTTCTGGTGTTTTCGAATCGAAAGCTTGTTGTTGACATACATAATTCTATAGATACTTCGAAAGAAGGAAAAGATTCTAAAGGGCGAGTTAACCACTACTACGTTCTATCACTCTTCGCCACTTTCGGACAGGCTTCTGTTGCCTTCAACAAAGAAGTGCCTTGACTTTGACTCGAAAAACTTGCAGCACTGATCCATCTCGTCTTCATAGTCGAACGCTTTTTTGGATAAAGGATTTGGATCGTTGAAAGCGAAACAGAAAAGTGGTAGTATGTGGGAACAAGGTACGGGCTGTACGGTAGTTGAGGCATCTCTTCCCACACAACGTCGAGTTGCTTCTTGTGAGTCACTCTTGTGTGGCGTAATGGTGCACCTCGAACCGTACCACGATTTGGACTCTTCCGTGCAAAATGGTGCTCGATCTACTCAGGTGCTGACAGCAGAAGTCCACCGTGAAACATGAAATAGCATAACGCGGCGCTGGATGGTAACGCCTAATGCCTTAGCAGTCTAACGAAAACAGTTCATGACCCTTGAATACCAGCCTTCTGCTGCAGCCAGGCTGGTAGCCCTTGTCAACCCAGCTGCGGTGGAGCTTGATGCTGGCCTACGACACTACTCCTCATTTCCTGTGACGATAGACACCAGGCAGCCATCAGAGTGCCTGTACGAATCACTTCTTGGCCACTTTGGCACGTCGCTGACGTTTGCGTTCGGTCAATTTATGGGTTCCCTACTATGTCAGCCTGCGCACCTTGCCCAACTGAAGCAGGTAATCGGCGATGGTGCTAAAGTAGCCATGTAAGAGCCAATTCACATGTAGTACGCCGTGGGTCTGCTTCCACCATCAAGCGACCATTATGGACCTGAAGTCGACGGGACAATCAGGCGAAACTTAAGATGAAGGTCTCCCAAGTGGAAGATTTTGAATCAGTGCCTTTGGATACCTTACCTTATGATACCTTACCTTACCAAATGCAACGACTCAGTTCTACGATTCGATGAGGTGTTGACTAGCAAAATATGAGGTCATATGGTAAACGTCTACAGGCAATTATAATAGCAAGCTTGCACGCACCTTCTCTCCTTATGCAGAAGCCAACTTGTTGGATGGAGCAGGTAATACGTTCATGATCGTTTACCATACGTCCTCACATTTTTTGAGTCAACACCCACATCAAACCATAGAATTAACTCGTTGCAT